TTAATAATGAAAATACTCAAAATTCAAACAACTCAACATAACAAATGCATATTTTTATACAAAGCAAACATTATTATTAATTTCTTAATTAATAATTAAATTTATTTAATTTTAATTTATTGATAATTAAATTTAAATTTAACTAAATTTCTTAATAATTTTGAATCTTTTTGGGCTAAAGCCAACATCGATGTTTTTGTACCTTCTCAGAAATACCAAGTGAAATCAAAATCTTCTTGTTTCACACCTGCCTGTTCAGTCACTATAGCCCAAAGGAATCACTTTTTCTGGCTGTACCAGCATCATTGTTCTGATCACAAAAGACGCCTCTTTGTTTCTACACATAATAATTGTAAACATGTCCTCAAAGAGGCTGTGTTTTTATTTGCTGAGAGTATAAGTTACTGTATAGCCTCTAACAAGTTTGGTTCAAGAAAATTAAGAAAAATTATTATTAGTAGTCTAACCATAAAGGATGCAAGGGTGGTGTAACAGATATTTGAATGAAATGAAATTTGAGTTCAAATTCTGGGCTAATCTGTTGTGGTCACTTTCACACAAATGCCCTTGAGAAAAAAAAATAGCTTGATGAGACCTAGCTGCCAATGTGTCATATAGGAAGAAAATGAGTAACTACCGACACCAAGGTTCAAGCATGACACTTTGGACTTATGAATATGTTTTCTGCCAGGTGTATAAATAGCGGTGTCAGGCTACTGACTGGAGTGATTATTGAGTCACTATTGAGTGAAACTATCCAGTTGAATTAGTGTGAATTATTGTGTATCAATGATTTGGGTTTTGATTTAGAATTTATCAAATGTTAAGCCAAGCCGCTGCTACTGTTATGGCTGACGCAACACAAAATAAGAAGAACCAGATTCGTAGAAATTAAGGTTGAAGAAAAGAGATTACATATAATAACAAAATGTGGATTTTATTTTACATATAATACAAGATATTTTTGAACAATAGGGATGAGGTTTAAAACAGTATAAGTTAGGAAATGCTAACAAGTTACTAAGCGTGTGAGAGCCCAGAAAATAGTTGGCTTAATGTGTAAACTATACAAGGGAGTGGGAGTGAAAATCGACTGTAGTTAAGATTAAGGCAACATATGGGAATTTGTCACTAGTCAAAGAATTATATTATTTTCTTCTTAAAAATAGTTTGATGTTCACATATATATGAAATAAAGTAGTTTGGTCAATAATATCAAGGAAAAAGGGTGAAGTATTTACCGATAGTCGTTTCTTTTCGAAGACTGTAGGAATTTGGATTCTTTCGGTTGAAGCTTTGTTCTTGAATCAAAAGGACCAGAGTTGACCTCAGTAGTCTTGGCTGTGGGTTCAGGAGGCAACTGGCTAGTTGATATGAACTCCTGTTTATATATGTTTTAATATATGTTTTCTAGAACCCAATAGAAGTTTGTAGAGATTATTGAAAGATACCATATATAGTGAATATAATTAATTTATATATATATATATATTGGGGAAATTGTATGACAAAGTGGAAAAAGTTACTAATATTATTATAGTGGATACTTCTTATTTGAAATAGATGCCCCATTTTTTTTACCTATTAAATAGTGTGTATTATGTTTATCAGCCTGCATATTCAATAAAATTTAGTATAGAAAATATGTTTCCCCAGCAAGGATCCTGTATCACCCTTTATATCCAAAGAAGTTTTATTAAATGCAATCAACAAGGTATGTCTGTCTCATTTTTTATTTTATTTTTCCAATTTTCAAATAAGCTGTGGAATATTGGGATTGAAATTGTGGATGAACTGTTTGTAGTTCATGTTTATTCTATTGTTATTTTTCAAGTACTTTTAACTTTTTTCATTTTTAAGAACCAATATGGTTTCTGTGTGGTTAATCATTATGCATGACATCACCATGTACTATTTTAAACTCTGAAGTTTCCAAAGAATACCAGAATGTGGCCAACAGAATCACGTCTACCATTCTGACACCATATTTGTTCTTGTATATAACTGAGAAAGTACTTGAACAAAACAATAAAACAATCATGAACTTTGGACAGTTTATATTCAAATTCGACCCCAATATATGACACCTTATCAAAAAATTGGAAAAGTACAACAAAATTAAACAGATATACCTTGTAAAATGTATTTAATCAAACTTTTTGGGATGAATACTTATGCCTACTATATATATATATATATATATATATATATATATATGCATACACAGACAGGAGTCTTTAAAAGGTCCCCAATAAATCAAAAAATAAAAACTTTTGATATGCCCAAATAATTTATTAATGGATAAACTATTATTTAAAAATATAAATGTTTTTTTGTGTATTTTAAAATAAATTGCACTGTAAGAGATGTGCTGTCAAATTTTTAAAAGTCTAAGAAAGACACTTTTTATTATTTTAAAAGAAATATTCCTTGTTTATTTTTGGGTCTTCAGAAATATTATTTTTTAAAAGTAACACACCAATTTCTATTTTTTAAATATTAAAGCATATTTATAAGTCATAATATTTCATCATGCACTTACAATATTAGCGTTTGCCTTTCAAAACAACAAAGAAAAATGAATGAATAAAAAGGAGAATGAATTTAAAATGAAGTCAGCAAAATTTTCAAGGAGATTCATTTTTAACGATTGTTAGTCTTAATCGTTTAGACAAGTAAGAGTTGCTTCCCTTTAATAACGGCTTGCTAACGCATAAGTCATTTTACAATGGCAATAATTACTAAATGTTACTGATTTTAAAAATATTAAATTAGCATTTAATTGACATAGGGTCCTTTTTATTCTGAGCTGAAAACTAAAGAAATTTACTCCCTACTAGGAAGAATGTTTATAAATATCTATATTTAATGATTCTGCATTTGTTTACTTGTTTGAAATGTATTTTCCTGTTGACAATATTTGCTTCATACTCATAAAAGCTTGAAACAAATGCATCCATGTATTAGATTTATGCAGAAGAGGCTCAGATCAATACAAAAATAAAAACAAAAACCTCAACTCGGATGTCTGGTGTAGGTAAAAGTTGTGTTCTTCTGAATAATTGGTTATTTGGAGAAGACAGTTTCTCAACATAGATGGCATCACTGGTAAATTTGCATGGCAGTTGTGTGAAAATGGTAATGTTTTGCAACTATTCTGATTTGTGACTGTTTTTATTCTACAATTGTTAAACAAATGAAACATTCTGAAAATGTCAAGCTCTTCTTTCAAAAATGATTATTTATTTGTTTTTATTCTTTGTAGTCAAGCTGTAACAAAAATAGTAAATGTAGAAACAAATATTCTTCCATATAAGCTTTTTATGATTATAAAGATTAGTCAAACATACTAGATAGTAACCAATTAGCTGGCTCAAAATATAGGTCAACTGGATTAAATCCAATAAACTTGTAGCATCTTGCTACCACTTTCTTCTAATTTTGTACATTTTTGTGCAAAAAAGTGGATCAGAGAGCCTACTCAGTTTAGTAAATATTTTCAGGAAATATCAGCTTCTAATTGGTCAATAAACACATGAGTGGGCATTGCAACCCACCTATGTACAAATATTTTTCCAGCACGTGACCAAGTCAAGTTTCCCACCAATTTTCTGCGATCCTGTCATGTAATTACAATAATTATAAATAGCAGACACAAGCTTGCTTTCTCTCACTCATTTCTTCATTCGCCTAAGAAGATGTGATCTTAAGGATTCTCGTCTAGACCATGGGCGGTCAGACGTTAAAAGCATATTTATGCATGCACGTACATACAAACTTTTCCAACCTACATTACAAACATACAGAACATTTCAAAACATGCAACAAGAACTTTTCTCTTTGAAATATTCTTCTAAAACTACAGTTTATTCAGCATTTCTCAGCTTTATAATTAATTCAACTTTTGTGAGTTCAGATAAAAATATTCACAGTCTAAGGGACATAACACCCACAGATCTTTAACTTCTACGCATGTACATCAATATACACAAATAAATACAAATGTTATGTTTTTAAAACTATTTTGTTCATTCTTGTATTTCATGTTATGTAGTATTTTATGTTTAATATAAATTGTGTGGTCATGTTATTCATGCAGCCATAAACAGACATCTACAATTGTCCGTTCTTATTACCATACCACTACATATGGTAACCCCGACGTTTAGCATGGGGCAAGAAAAACAAATAGACCACTACAAGCTCAAGGTTGAATTTTTCATTTTTCAAAATAAAATAAAAAAGAGGTTTTGTTTTATCTGTCTTATTTGGATTGGTCTGTTTCCTTCATTGTTGTACTCATGTTTCAGCCATTGTATCCTCTAATTTGTCTGTTGACTTCCTGTGATCTTCCTGGAGTTTTGAACTGAACCCTTTATTCAATGCACAGGGTAGATTGTTCTCATTTCACTATAAATGCTTAGGAAAAATAACTCATATCAATTTAATACTAACCAGTTTTATTCACTGTGCCATCTGAATCAGAGTATGTGACTTTCCAGCCCTACTAAACCCAGTGATTGAACTCACAAATGCTAAGGAACCAGATATGTTTTAATCTGATAATCTAGTGATAATCCATTGGAGAAATTTTGGAGCCTAAATCCAGTGTCTATAAGGGATGGAACTGATGAGTATCCCAACTTTCTGACAGTCTAACAAGTAAGACAGACATGTTGGTCCATAATAAGGTATATAGTAATAACAATTCATTATCTGAAAAATTCTAAAATAAATTATTTCTTTTAATAAATCAAATTTGCCAGCCTTTAATATGGTATTTATGTGGCTATTGTTCTTTGAAACTCATCTGATTCTCATTATTGCCCATAGTGAGCTGGATAGATGTAATATACAATCTGTACTTAGATTTGACTAAATCTTAAGTAATTTCACCTATTAACATGTAGCTTAAGCAACTCAAAAAAGAAGAAAGAAAAAGAATTAGAAATAAAGAAGAAATAAAAAGAAGAAAATTAAAAAGAAAAGAAAAAAGAAACAAGAAGAAAAGAGAAATAAAAAAGAATCAAAAAAGAAAGAAGGAAAAAGAAAAATAGAAATAGAAACAAAAAGAAAAGAGAAATAAAAAGAAGGAAAAAAAAGAAAAAACATGGAATTAAGTAAAAAGAATTACTAAATATATTATTTTATACTGCAATCAAGAATTCCACAAGTTCAATTACATTGAAATCTCCTTTTTTCTCTTCATTAAATGTGAGCATAAAATCTATAAGCAAGCTGTGTCCCAGTCAAAATCCTGAGTTGCTTATAAAAATAAATTGTGTATTTGCAAAGTTAATGTTACTTTAAATGTGTGCCTTATATGACAGCAGATAAGGTAATTATAAAAAGCATGAAAGCATATAAATCTAACCTTGTTCTATAGAAACTTGATTTTACCCAACAATTATGGATGCCAGTTAGGAAAAACAAGAAAGCACTCAGAGAGTGGATATTACCATTATCATTGTCACTGAAAACTGAATGAGAATCAATTCAGAGATGAAGGGACATAACTGTGTAAATTTCAATTGGTTCATATATATGAAATATCTCTCAACTGAAAACAAATTTCCTGTTTCCACCTGCAAAATTTAATCAACTGTCTCTTAGATCATAGTCATCCCTTCCAGAAAATGTCATTGAGAACTTTAGGAGATATTGTGTGGACAAACAGACAAATATGGGTGAATACATAACATCCGTCCAACTTCATTGGCAAAGGTAAAAGTAAAAGAACTTTTATTTTGGTACACCATATACCTCACAGTTAGGTGTTCCACACTTATAACCTTGTGCCATACAAAATAAAGTAAATAATGACATGCATGGACACACATGAATTTAGGAATAACTCTTTTGTAATGTGGAAATTAAAAGATTGATTTAAATTCTAAAATTAGTTGCAATGTATTGTATCCAATGTATTTCTCTTGTAAACAAAAAGTCATAACTCACTAGAAATTATTAACTGTCACATGTGCATCTTAAAAATTGGGGTGCATTGCCTCTGATACATATGTGTGTCATGGGACACACTATGGGAGGGAAACAAAGCTAATGTCAAGGATGTATTTTGACTTCATTCTATATAGTGTAATAGATTCTATTTTAATTTTGAAATGAAGCATAAGTAGTTTTGGTTACAATAAAAAACTGATAGAATTCAAATATACAGGGAAAGAGTGAATGTGTTAAAAAATTTTTAAAGAGACTGAAAACAAAACTTCTAAAGGAAAGAAAAAAAAACTACAGCAAATTTAGCCAATGTTTTATGTACCAAATCTTTTTGGGGGAGAGATGTGGGTGATCATGGCTCTCTACAACTTCCTTCTTTTTGTTACTCTAAGCAATCTTTAACCTTCTACCATCGCCCTTTTTCGTTCCTTTTTTTTTTTTAAATCAATTCATCTCAAGCAAGGTGATACTGCCACTAAGACACAAGGGGATCTACTGGGAGGGAGGGAGGGTGGTAGGGGAAAACTTTAGGAAGAACCAGAAACCCAATCCCAAACAGGAAACGAAGGATAAAATCCCTACTCCTGTTCAAAAGACCAGGAAGGAGTGGGAACCGAGCAATAGGCAAACCTATCTACTCCTCTTTGTCCTTTGTTATTCATTCACACAAACTTGTTCAGTTTTCCCCTTACTTCTCTTGTTCTGTGAGTATTACATTCTCTAGACCTTCTTTTCTCATGTGTCCTAGAAATTTCATCGATCTCTTTTGATTGTATGTCTGAGGCTTTTTGTTGTTCTTATTTTCCTTAAGATTTCATGTTCAGTCCATCATATTTTCAGATTTAATCTGTAGAACCACATCTGTGTCACTCCAAGTTTTCTCATCTGCAAGGAAATTGTCCACTATTCACTCACTTATAGGATATTAGATATCAGTTCAATACTTACTGTTTTTTGTATTTTCCTATCTCTTAATACTGTGCTTAGTTTCTGGAACACATCTTTCACTATTCCTATGTACACTTGAATTTCTTTGTCACATTGTTAATCATCTGTTACTACACTATCCAGATAGTTAAATTTCTTTACCTGCTTGATTTTAACATCTCCAATATGTAACTAAACTGTCTCTTTTGCTGATGACCAAGCATTATACTGTCTTCCAATTAACAGCTAGTTTTTTCTTCTTGCTTTCCATTACTTCCTGGTCTAAGGTTTCTTTCAGTTTTCCTTCTGGTTCTGCCATCTACACAATGTCATCTGGGCAAAATTGAGCCTGCTAAAAAACCGAAGTGTCAAAAGGATGGTTTTTCTCTTGACACCACTATTATTTTAACTACCTTCACTCCTCAGCAATGTTTATTGTTTTAAAAAGTGATTATTCAAATTGTAATAAAACCTAAACATAAGATGAAAGTGAATTTATACATTTTTTGTTCTTGAGAACTTACAACAAAAATATTAAATACTATTTATTTATTACATTGTTTATTTACAATTGGCCAATGTTTTGCAATTTCAGTAAACAATATAATAGTGTAAATAAACAATCTAATAAATGTTTATTATTTTTGTCATCAATTCTCAAGAACAAAGAAAATGTTTAAATTCACTTTCATAAGTTTAGGTTTTATTAAAATTCTTATTGCTTTTTAAAGCAAATATTGCCAAGGGAGTGAATCTAATTAAAATGATAGTGGTTTCAAATGAAAAACTGTTCTTTTGACACACCATTTTATCTTTTTTTTTTAACATGAAGGTCCACATTTGGCATAATCTGTATATCTTGCACTGTTAAGATTATAGCTAATAATAATAATTCCTGGTATGACATTTAGTTCTCCTGGGATTTTCTCACTGTATAGATTAAATAAATCCAATGGGAAAATACATTGTCATACTCTGCTTTCTATTTTTGTATATTGACTGAACTTGTTCTCTAGCAGGATGCAGGCTATTTGTTCCCAGTAGAAGAAGTTACAGGCTACTCAAATATCTTTCCTGTGTAAAGCACTTTTCTAGTATTTAACAATGAAATTATTCTCATAGGAAACAAGTTTGCCCAATATAAACTGTAGTACCCTAACATTTAGAGACAATATTACTTATGGCTTAATCTTCCCCCACTTGTAAAAATGAACTCAGTTGGATGATTCATGCATGAGATAAGAGGTAAAAAAGTAGTGTAACACTGGAAGTCAGAGATCATATTTTTCAGACTTAGTCCTTAAAAAATTAAATTATGAAACAAACACTTCCACTACTAGAGCATATGATGTAAAGATATTTCTCAGTTCCAGTAGGAAGTGAGATTTACTTGACTCCCCACTGAGTCAGTTCCAGTAGGAAGTGAGACCCCCCACCACCACCACCACCACTGATCGGTTGACCCCCGGCCACTGACCCCCCGCCACTGAATCAGTTCCAGTAGGGAGTGAGATTTACTTGACTCCCCCACCGCCACTGAGTCAGTTCCAGTAGGAAGTTTTTGCAACAAACAAACCTCAATGTAAAATTTACTAATTATTATAAATCATTACTGATTTTAATCAATAATGAATTTGATACAAAGGTGATAAATAATTTGAAGGGTCTCAATACAGCTCATGACTTTTCTGATATGGACAATAATGAAATTACTGTTCAAGGATTATTAGGAATATATGATTATTCAGTATATGAGGCCAAGTAAAATACAAGAACAGATTGGCATGGGAAATTCTCACTGGCATAATTCCTTTCAGAAACATGTCAAATTTCTTGCTTCCAGAGCAAAACCATGAGAAGAATGGCTGTGATAACTATTGTTAATCAACATGAAGTTGTCTCTCTTGTACCTTCTCCATGAGTGAGGTATGATTGAGGTGGAAACGCAGGGGTAGGGACAGTTGGTTACCACCACAAGGTGCTCGAATGTCACTAAATAAATTCTTTCTCTGCACACACGTCTTGTTGGAGTCATTTAATTGAATTCACAACTATTATACCATCATATCACAGTATTCTTCTTGTCCAATAACTCACATGAATTTTGTTTTGTCCTCAAAAGCAGATTATTTCGACCCTATTTGTGGAAGGTTTGAAAACAGTGTGGTCGAAAGAAAACTGGATAAAATGTTTAGCCTGGATTCTTTAGTATTAGAAGATGAAGATGCCTTATGTGATTTTGAGGAGGAACAATTAAAAATCATATTAAGTTTTAAAAATAATACTTACTATATAGAGCTTCCATGGAATAAGGATAAATTAAAATTAGTTTCTTCTTTGCTTTGAAGGTTTTAGGTAGGGTAGTCAAAAAGTTTAGAAAAGAAAAACTTACTTCATGATTATTTCACTGTTTTTCATGAGCAAGAAAAAGAGGGAATTGTGGAACATATATCTGTTTTCCCTAAAGATTATTGAAAATATATTTGGATACCTCAGAGGCCTGTAATTAAAAGTGATGAACAGAATTAGACCAGTAATTAATTGTTCAATTAAAACTGGCAATGCTCCATTGTTAAATGAAGCTGTTTACCCTGGTGTCAATTTGATGAACAACATGTTAGATTTGATAATGCCATTTTGAAGTAAGAAATATACTTTCTTGGCCAATATTAGAAAAGCCTTCCTTATGATCAAGTTAAAAAATGAAAATGATAGAAATAATTTTTGGTTTTTCTTGAAAGAAGGTGAAAATTTAGTTTACTATCGACATACAACTTTTAATCTTTGGGTTTTTATAGCAAGTCCCTTTATAGTGAATTTTGTTATCCAATGCCATGTTGACAAATACCCTAATGATTTATGCACTGTTATGTTAAGAGATAATGTTGATAATTTGATTAAGACAAGTGATTCTCCTGAATAATACTTATGTAAGGGCCTATTGGTTGAAAGATTTATTTTTGGAACATTGGGGTTACCAAATGTAAAGGTGTCCGTTTGTATCTACAGACAAATACTATTTATATTATTATACTTTCAACGTACAAGATTCAAGTAAACAACAAAAACTCCAAACTGTGAATCAACAAGTATATATTGAAATAACATACAAGAACAAACATGCAATAAAATTGTATTCAATATATAGATTAAGGGAAAGAAGTTGTCTCCCTTTAATTGTATTTTGATTTGTAATTGATTGTTCAAAAAAAGTTCTTTTTGAGAGA